GTCCCTCCTGGGGCAGCTGTTCCTGCCCGCTTGTGTCTCCTTTACTTTCCTTGTCCCCTTTCCCTAATAAACCTGCCCTTTCAATATAACTAATGTCTCCATCTCGTGGAGAAACTGGCCTGGGAAGCTTGCTGCAGGTCCCTGAAACAGGAGCTCTGGCAACACCTTTCCCATAGTGAACCCAAAGACCCCGCACTCCAGACCCACTAACTCCAAAAACAACATCAAGTAGAAGTCCTGGTCCAAGCCCAGTTTTCTCTCTGGAACAATTACAGTCCTTCCAGCCATCTGCCAATGTCCTAGAAGAGTCAGAATAATCTTAGGTTGCCTAAAGCCAAAGCATCTGGACTGACAATGAATGTCAGGGTAAGATTTTAGCAGAGCATAGATAAAAGGAGCTCACAGGTGAGCCAGCCAATGTGGAAAAGGAGAGTATATTGCCTGGCTCTTGTGCTAAAAAAAAAATCAGTCTGTTCCCCACAATCAGTTTTTCCTGGGCTCCTGCAGGGAAACCATGATAGGGGTTGCTTCTGATGCCGGAATTGTCAGGTCTAGTATCCCAGCCAGGAACGGATCTCAGGCTGCAGGGCAGCGCTGAGTCCCAGCCACTAGACCCCCAGGGTTGGTGTCTCAAGAAGCCACAGCAGGAACTTCGCAGACGCTCAGGCAAGCAAGCGAGAAGAGGCAGTTTGTTTAGAAAAAGAAAAAGTTTATTGAGGAGGAAAAGAGCAGAAATAAAGTGGGACTCCCAGGCCAGGGAACCAGGCCTGGGAGGGGCAAGGAAGCCAAAGTGGAGTCATGTCTTAGGGAATATAGACCTTTTTTCCCTCATTATTCTAAAGCTGCCCCAGTCTCTTTGTGATTGGTCAGTTCTCGGCTGTCTCACTCAATTTGCTACTGAGTGGGATCTTCACATTCCTTATCTAACAGCTTTCTCTTTCCCCATTTGTTGCATCTTTAAATTTATGGCCCAGTCTTCTGGATGGGCATCCCTGCATTGAAGTTAAACAGCTGCCCTTCTAATGTGTCCATAAATTAAACCACTCTCCATTTCTCCAATCTCCGCCTCCCTTTACCACCTGAAGGAAACCAGGACCAGCATTAACAATGTTGTCCTTGGTCCTGGCATGTTTGTTTTCCTAATGGAATGGGTTACTTTCCCTTGCTTGTCCTTATCTCTGAAGCCTCCCTAAATTCTTCAGAGGTCCCCTCCTGCACTGTCCCTAAAACTGCCTAATAACCCTAGCTTGCCCTGTCTCACTTCTTAGACAGGTTTGTAGCTACAGGTCGACCACTCAGTTAATATTTTCCCCAAGGGGCTTTTAGATGGAACAAATATGGCACCTCTCATAAGTTTAACTAAATCCCTGGCTTCCAAAAACAAACGGGAAACTCCAAATACCAAATACCAAATAGATATCAAGTGACAAAAACCCAAATGTTTCCCAATTCCCACTCAACCGGCCTAACACACCAAAGAGCGCTCCAAATTGAGGGAGACTCATAGACTCCCTCCCAAATGAGGAGACCTGAACTCCCCCCAAGGGGACTCAGATTCCTCCCGAATGTGTGAAGGCCAAGGTCTTGGCGTGCACGCCAGGGGAACTTACACAAACGCCAGGGGACCGCGGTTTTCCATCCAGTTTCCATCTCCTCAAAGGTAAATCCAGGGTGCAGAGAAGAGCTGTGCCTCTCCCGAGGAGGACTTGGAAGTTCCCGGAGGAAAAAGAACTCCGCAGCTGCTGGGACTCTCCCTCATCCTCCTGGAGAGAGGGCGCTCCCTCTCAGCAGGAGTCAGGATGCCACCCGGGATGCCCAGGCCCCTCTCTGACAGCACAGACCAGCATAGATAGGTGAGCCCTGTGCTCTGCAGCAGGCAACAGCTCCGTCAGTTGGAAGTCAGAGTTGGGGTTGGAGAGCCGAAGTGGCATCCACCTCCTGGCTGGCTCGCCAAAATTGTTACCAAATGCCGGCCTCAGTTTCCCTCAGCCAATAAAAGGAAACTAAGTTTGAGGAAAAGGAAAGCGGTTTTATTGTCGACAAATGAGGAGGGAGGCAGACTCATGTTCCGAAAAACCACCGTCCTGCTCTTGGCAGCGGGCAGGGGTATTTATACAGGGGAGATGGGTAGGCGTCCGCGAAGGGGAGGGGGAAGGGGTCCGCACAGAGACAAGTGGGCGCCAGCTCAACAGGGAGATGGATGGGTGTCAGCTCATTCATCTTAAGGGAAGGGAAGTGTCAAGGCACAGAGAGGGGTGATGGCCAACTTTTTTCCTTAGGGTGAGGGGAAGAGGGAAGGTCTACAGGGAAACCTGTGGGCGCCAGCTTTTTTTTTTTTTCTTCCAAGGGGAGGAAGCTGCAACAAATGGAAAGACAAGTCATCAATCCCATTAATGCTAGATAAGGGAATTGCAAAAAATGGGGGAAAGACAAACTTGTTAACTGTATCACCCGGACAATGAGCGGCTGATCCTCTAGACCCATCATTCCCAGGGGGACCCCAGGACCAGTCACCCCAACTGGCCATGATGCCTGGAGCACAACAGAGCCTCGGGCTTCTCTCTCTGCCAACAGACAACCCCCCACCCCCGTCTCTCCTCCCCTCTTCAGCGAGTGTATTCCATGAGCCCAGCTTTTCTTTCTCACCCGGTCTCTGGTGAATTCCCTCACCGGGCCCCTCTGGCCTGACCCGATTCTCCCCCAGGCCCTGGAGAGAAGCGGGTGCTCCCGGGGCTGGGAGTGCAGCAGCCTGGAGCCCTGTGTCTGCTCAGGGCAGGAGTCACCCAGGCCTCTGTCTGCAGGCACAGCGGGAGCGAGGACAGGGCTTCTTGGGCCCTTGGTGGGACTGGGCGCCAAAGCCTTCATCTTGCTCGGCCTCGTCTTCCTCATGTGAGTCGGGGTCCCCCTGAAGCCCTCACAGGCAGTGGGTTGGTGTGGGGTGAGGAGGGGCACACTCCTAAGTGCCAGCCCAGGGATCAGGGTGAGTCTGACCCCTGGAGTCTCTGCCCAGAGCAGTCCCCACGCCCCTCCCACAGCTCTCCAGGCCCCTGGTGAGCAGCTGGCTGAAGGGCCTGGTCTCCCTCCACAGAGTGAAGAGAATCAGAAGAAAAGCACAGAAGGAGGCAGCAGGGAGCAGGCCAGGCCCCCAGGCTGCAGGGAGAATCCCCAGGGTGAGTGACTCAGGGTCTTCTGAGGATAAGTGGGGCCTGGACCCTCTGGGGCTGTGCCTGGGGCTCTGCTCCAGGGCAAAAAGGGTTCCCTGGTCACACCCGTTCCTCCCCTGGCCTCCCTGAGCTCTTGACCCAGAGACTGAGCCTCCCTCACCCCCTCCCGGGACCCACCAAGTCCAGTCAGGGCCCCTCAGGGCAAAGCTTTTCTCTGTCCGCTTCCCCACTGAGTCCTCTGAGCCCGGGTTCTGTCAGGATCCCTGGCCTCTTCCCCGCCTTCCCCACAGGCCTCCCCTCACCCCCACCACCTAAACTCCCCTCCCCAAACAAGCTCTGGCAAGAAACTCCCCGACAGCTGTCACTCACCCTCAGCCCTGCCGCCCCCACAACGGGTGGGGCAGAAATCCCCGGAGCCTCCTGCAGGCCTATCACTGTCCCGCAGCCACACTGCCCAGGAGGACAGACAGACAGACGCACGGATGTGGGGTCAGAGAGCCGGGTCCTCGGGTCCTGTGAGGAGAGTCTCCCCAGAGCTCCCCTTTCAGCAGCTGCGGGGAGTTCCAGAGAGGCTGGGCACCCCCACAGGGCAGGGCATCAGATCACAGGGCCAGGGCGGAGGCAGCACAGAGAAGGGCAGGCGCTGCCTCTCCAGCCTCGGCCTCGGCTCCTCCGTGTGCAGCATGAGCTCCTGCTCCTCCCGTGCTCCCTGGGCCGCGCCTCGGGTGGTTTCTATGTGGGGGCTCCCTGGGTAGATCTGAGGGCCC